AAAACCTCAGAAATGACCGCTAAAGAACTTACTCATGTAATGAAATACCACCTGTACCCCAATAACTTATGGCAAAATTAAAAAATAAAAAATAAACACATTTCCAAGAGTAAGGAGTTGCTGAGAGTTAGTTTATGCACCAGAGTCAATTTCTCTGCCCCACTCCTCACAAGCCTAGGAAATAAGCTTAGAACATACATTCCTCAGCTCCACAACAGTCTCTTGGAATTTCCCTTCCAGGTTCTTTTTCTCCTTCAGTCTCTTCTGTGGTAAGCTGTCATTTAAGCTACACCAAAACATTATCTTTCTAGAGATTATACAGGAAACCAGAGAAAAGTGTCAGTCTCCATAAGACAACCCAACCTTGCATAGAGCCACCTCCAGGAAAGATGGAAGAAATGCTCACCAATGGTGATAGTCTGACGATAAACCTGAAGACTTCTCCAAGCAGGAATGACTTGTAAGATGCGTTCCAAAGAGGCACTCTGCTCTAGTGGAAAACGTTTGGTTCTGGTTCAAAGAAACGCAGCACATGCTACTTATTAGCTCTGTGACCTTGGGCAAGTTATTTGACCACCCTGAGCTTCTATTTCATCATCTATAAAAGGCTAATGGTAAGATGACAATGACAATGCTTACTAGCATAGTTAACACAATAACTAAGAAGTATTAATATAAAGGATTCTGCTTATGGTAAGAGATCTATAAATGGCAACAATATTTATTTATTTATTTATTTATTTTCCAAACACAGTACCTTGCACAAAATTTAAGTTAATAAATATTTGTAGAAAGGAGGAAAGGAGAAAGGAAGAGGGAAGGGAGAAAAGACTTGAAAAAGATTCAAGTTTTGCACAATATAAATCCTGATAGAGTTTTTCCTCTTTATCACTAATAAATTATCTGATTATAACACAGATCTATTGAGGAAACAGTTTGAATACCATGGACTATTAACACACAGATCCTGCAGATCAGAGCCCTCCGGTGGCCATTGTAGCTTTGCTATCTGTTAGGACAATTATGCCCACCTTGTCTCTTACAGCTGCATGTCACCACCTGGTCCCTGCTGGCCTAGATCCCGATCACCTACACTGACACCAGGAAGCCCAGTTCCACAGCAGCTTCCCCTGGCATCAACCTCAGCCTAGAAAGGACAATGACCATGAGCTTTTCTGAGATGTGCCCCTCACTAGTCATTCTTTGTTGCTTTAGTAAAAGAAGTGGTCACTAAACTCTCCAAACACAGCCAACTGGCAAGTTCTCTGGTCTTATGTAATAAATCCATTCTGCCAGGCCCACTTCTCTATGCCTTTTGTACCTCAGTACTCTGCCACGACAGTTCCAGCATCTTCTTTTCATTAACGCAAGCCACCATTTTTCCCACTCTTGAAGGACACCTCCCAACAGCACACAGGGACCAGATCCAGGTGTCATTAGGATTACATTAAATTCTGAGAATGCCCAGGTATGGATGAAATCTTCTTATCCAGTCTTATATTCTGCCACCCCACCCCCCAATATCCCTGTCTGAAACCCTCAAGATCCATTGCTAAGCACACTCCACCAATTCCTCCTGGTTAACATTGTCAAATTCTGAAGCTCCTTCAGGGGAGATGCTTGTTCCTCCCACCACAGAGCAAGTTCTTCCCCAGCCAGATCATCCTGTGACTTGACTGTAATTAACCACCCAGAATAATACGGAGTTATGGGCAGTATTTGAGGAGAGCGAGTATCATCATGTAAAGCATCCTCCTCGGCATGGTCTCCAGCCAAGGGGAGTCTGCTCTCCACTAGCAAGGAGAAGCCAGGAGGTTCCTCTGCAGAGAAACCTCAAGTCCATCATCCACCTAACTGTTCCCATTCTAGGTCTCCATGTCCCACTTCTTCCCTATTACGACCTTCACTTAAGTATAGGAGACTTGCCAGAGTGGTAAATTCAGCTCTTTTATTAATTCAGCTGCTCTCCCAATTAGATATTAGGCCTAAGGTTCAGCACAGTCTGCCCTTCAGCTGCTTTCAAAAACAGTCTCTTCAAATCAGCTTTCATACATGCCCTGAGGGCTTTGATTCCACTTCATGACCAACCAACTCCCATAGTTCTTATAACTACCATTGTCTTCATATCTTAGCCAGTGTGTGCCTTACCATGCGTATTCCATATTAATTCACTACAAGGCAGTCAGTGCCTTTTGGTCAATGGCAGACCACACATGACGGAGGTCCCATAAGATTTTATTTTTCTGTACTTGCTCTATGTTTAGATACACAAATACTTACCATTATTTTGCAGTTGCCCACAGCATTCAGTATAGTAATCTGCTGTACAGATTTGTAGCCTAGGAGCAATAGGCTAGGCTATACCATCCAGGTTTGTGTAATTGCACTGTGATGTTCTTTCAGTGACAAAACGGCCTAATGATGTGTTTCTCAGAATGTATCCTCCTCATGAAGTGACCCATGACTGTAACTGTGGTGCTACAGCATGTCTTATTGCTCTCACAGCAAACATTACTGCCTCCTGCATTAAAGCTGAGCCTCCCAAAAGGCAGCCAAGCTGGAATTTATCCATTTGGCCCCTTAAATCCACTCTTACCTTTCTTTACCTTGATGCCTAGGAGGCCAACATTTATGGACTGAATCAATGGGTTTTCTCACTCTCTGTTTTCCCATTTGATTCCCGTGTGATTTTTTTCTTTTCTTTTTTTTAGAGATGGGGTCTTGCTCTGTCATTCAGGCTGGAGTGCAGAGGCACGCTCACAGCTCACTTGCAGTCTTGACCTCCCAGTCTCAAGCGATCCTCCCATCTCAGCCCTTCAGGTAGTTGGGACTACAGGTGCACACCACCACACCTGGCTAATCATTTTATTTTTTTAAGAGACAGGGTCTTACCATGCTGCCCAAGCTAGTCTCAAACTCCTGGCCTCAAGTAGTTCTTCCACCTCAGCCTCCCAAAGTGCTGGGATCATGGGCATGAGTCACCACACCTGGCTTGATTCCCATTTCATCCAACAGAAGACCAGTGGACGGGAGGAGAGTGAGGATGGGTATCTGCTGCCCCAGCTCCCGCCGTACCAGGTCTGTTTGGGAAGGGCTGCATCCTCCTACCAAAGGCCGCAGCTCCTGTCAAGGATCTCACTCCTACAGTTCTCTCTGGGGTCTGACAATCACCCCCTCCCCTTGTTCCTTCAGCCTGGGGTTGTCCATTGCTGCTGAACCAGATCTGTTTCACCCCCCTTGTTGGTTTCCTTAATTCTACTCACACATTTATAAATCATCTCTTCAGTATCCCACGACAACAGATCACTGGTTTCTTTATTCATGCTGTAGTCATCTTTTCTCAAATCCTGCCAAGCCCTTTGTGCCTCAGAAAATTCTGAGGCAAGTCTTCAGAGATAGGTTAAAAACACTTGAGCGGCAGCACCCAGGATTCATCCCTAATTATCACCCACTGTTCCAGCAGAGACCCCTAGTACTTGCCTTCCTTTTATGTTAGAGTGACTTCCTTTCCTACCAACACATCTGCTAAAGATTGGGTGGATCTTGCTCCTGCCCTTTGTTCCCAAATGTTCACCCCACTTCCCAGTACTTGACTGTCAATCTCAACATTTGCTTTACTGTGTTTTAGGGGGACTCATTGAATCTTTATTCAAGACAGACTCCTGGCCCCCAGTCGTGGTATCCATGGTTATGTCTATGCAGTTTGTACCATCTTTGGGACTCATGCTACCCAAGGTCATCTGTCTGTGTCCCTTACTAAACATCACATGCCAAATTCATGATTAAGTAAAAATAATCATGTTGTTTAGTTGAGGTGTGCTTCTCACTGTTATTCCAAGTGTACTAAAAATTAAAAAGACTTTCTTGAAAGTTTTCATGAATTCGAAGGGCAGAGGACACGCTTTATTGGCATCAATATAGGTTTTCTTGGCACATTATGAAAAAGGAACAAGGTTAAATTCAACCCCAAAACTGCCAGAATTAAAGATATTTGCATAACATTAGAGTTTTGGGTTGGGTTTTTTTTTTTTTTTTTTTTTTTCAATCACAGAATTAGCTAATTAGAGAGGGCAGGGGCTAGAAAATCACAGACTTTTTCCTCTGAGCCAGCGACGCAGTTTTACCCCTAAACACATGTAAAATTTCTGAGCTGAATAAGTCACAACTTAAATTTAACATATGATAAATGGGGAAGAATACTTGTGTGTGACCATTTTGCCATAGCTTTGGGAGAACATCACACTCTAAAACATGAGTTTACTTTCATAAGTTTTTAAGACGAAATGATAGCTACCAGCTACGTATTTTACTTCTGAGTTTGTTTTTCAATCACAACATAGCCTCTTTATTAAGGATCTTAAGGGAGTTTAGGGAATTTTGCTAGGGAAAAGAGTTGCCCAAATCCAAACATCTTTTCATTGAAGCTACTCTCTTTTTTTTATCTGAGCACTCTCTATTTCTTGTGTAGATAATTGCTCAGTTAAAAGGGATAAGGGAGCATTTTCCCCAAAGAAGCTTGCAGTTGGAATTCCTCTGAGGTAAGGAAGACTAGTGCATGGGTTTTATTCATTTCTAGCCCTTTAATCATAAATCCAGTTGGAGTCAGTGGTTAAACAGAACATGAGAATTTAAAGACTTTCTCTTTCCAGCCCCATTTCCTAATTACACCCAATATGATATTATGAGTCCAAATTGGGCAAGGATTTTGATTCACAAATTATGTTCCAAGACTCAAGGCAAAGACAAATTAATTTGCAGGTATATGAACTGGAGAAATTATTTTGGTGAAGACACAAATATTGTTTTGCACTTTTAGCATAAGTAGGCTGCATTTGGGCCTTTTGCCTGAGCTGGACCTAAGGGGTGACGGGTAACCTCCTCCATGGGTATGGTCGAAATTAAACAGCCTTGTATCCAGGAAGTATAACTGCTTGTGCTGCTCACACAGGTGGGTCTGTGAGGTTCAGGCCACTGGCTGGGCTCCGCAGACCGTGCCAGCCTCAGATGGTCTCACACTCCGTGGTGGCCGTGGAGCAGGCTCCGCAGTCACAGCGGACGGCCACGGGATAGGTGTAGAAGGGGTCAACTCCTAGGGCACAGTTGGGCAGCTTGACGGTCACCTGTTTGGTCTCGTTGTAGGTACAGACTCGATGATGGGCTTCAATGTAGGGGGGTTCCAGAATAGGTTTCTGTCCCCACAGATAGAAAACAGGAAACTCATTAGAACATATGATCCTGTTTCAATGTTTTAGTATCATTTATCAGTCTCAGAAATTAACTTGTTATTCATTGGTTTACTTATTGCTCTGTCGTCTGCCAGTAGAAAACAAACTCCTGAAAGCAAGAAGCTGATTTCATTCAAGACCATATCCTAAGCTCCCAGGAGAGACCATGGTACACAGCAAGTGCTCCATACAGTCAGCAAATGAGTCATCTTGGTCATTGCAAATGCCTTCTAACTGGCCTCCCCTCTTCCTTTATTACTCCCTATAATCTATTTGCAACACAGTGGCCCTGAGTGATCCTCTTTAAACGTAAGTCACATCAAGTTACTCTACTGCACAAAGCCCCATTGATTTTCCATCTCACACAGAGCAAAAATCAAAGACCTTACGACCACCTTCAAGACCTCCATCACCTTCTCTGCACCTCTACCTTCTGAAATGCCTGCAATTATCCCCACCTCATGGACTTCCTCACTAGGCTCAAAGGGGTCTTCTTCTTGCTCCTCAGACCCATCAGGAACAGACCCTGCTCAGCGCCTTTGCACTCACTGTTCCTTCTGCCTGGAACATTCTTCTCCCATATGATTCACTCCGTCACCAATCTTTGGTTTTTGTTAGAATGACACCTTCTCAGGGAAGCATTTTCTGACCATCCTATTTAAAATTGCAACATTCCATCTCTATGCCCAGAAACTTCCCATCCCCTACCCTGCTTTACTTTTGACCATAACACTGGTCAATAGCACACGCATAATCGATCTTTCATTCATTCATGTGATACTCCTCCCACTCCAGAAAGTAAGCCCTTTTAGGATAGAGATTTTTGCCTGCTGTGCTTCCAGTACCTAAAACAGACCCTGGGAGGGTTTCAATTACTATTTGTCATTGAACCAATAAAAGAAAACATTACAAGAGAGGTTCCTGAATACTCTGTGCACTGTTCCGATCATTGAAAGATTCATTTCCTTCCTTCACCTTTTATAAATCTTAAGTTCAAAGATAATTTTGATAAACAGAACACATAGATCAGAAACAAAATCAGCACAAAGCAGGAGTTAAAATCTCGAGCACTGCAGTCAGGACTATGGAGCTTGAGTCCCTGTTCAGCCACTTGCTGGAGACCTTGGAAAATCCACTTAACTTCATGAAGACTTGGTTTCCTCCTCTGTAAAACAAAATATCTACCTCCCACCATTGTTTGGGAGATATGATAAGACAATATACTCAATGTGCAAAGCCTAGCACAAAGTAAGTGGTCAATAAATGTAATCCATTGTTCTTATTAAAGCAATCACTATATGGAAGTAATAATTAAAATAATAAGCTTTCAAATGACAGTAACTTTGCTTTTTTGTTCTTCTTTGTTCTAGGCAAAAAAGAACATATAAACATATGTAGCTCAAGTGAAGCTTTCATGAATGTCATGAAAATAGGAGCCTTGCCTTTTTTTTTTTTTTTTTTTTTTTTTTTTTGAGATGGAGTCTCACTCTGTTGCCCAGGCTGGAGTGCAGTGGTGTGATCTCGGCTCACTGCAACCACTGCCCCCTGGATTCAAGCGATTCTTCTGCCTCAGCCTCCAAGTGGCTGGGTCTACAGGCACATGCCACCATGCCCAGCTAATTTTTGTATTTTTAGTACAGATGGGGTTTCATTATATTGGCCAGGCTGGTCTCGAACTCCTGATCTCATGATCCACCCGCCTCGGCCTCCCAAAGTGCTAGGATTACAGGCGTGAGCCACTGTGCCCAGCCAGCCTTGCCTTTGACAAGGACCAGAAAAGCTGAATGTGTCCTCAACTGTTTCTCCTACCTTGCCATGTTTGCTTTATGTCCTCTTACCATTAGTACTCTGCGAACCTAGGCAGACCAGACACCCCATAAAATTTAAATTGCAGATACACAATTTTTTAATATGTCTGTCCCAAATACTATATGAGACAGACAGGCTTATGCTAAAAATTTATTGTTTTTCTGAAATTCAAATTTACCTGGTCTTCCTGGTTTTCTGGTTTTGTTTCAGTTTGGGTTTTTGTGGGGAGGGGATTGGCTGTTTTGTTTTATTTTGTTTGTCTGTTCGCTAAATCTGGCAACTCTATACCCAGATTATGAGGAATAGCTATTTTCAGCAAACGTTCCACCTTCAAAGTAAATCCAGCCAGTCTGTCGTCATGAACATACTTATTTTCAAACATGCTTTCAGTTAAGTTCCCCCTACCCCCCAAGAAAATCAAGTGCTGGGAAAATGAATCTTATTGTTTCACTTGCTTTCTATAGGTAATCTCCCTTTTCATAACACAGTCAAGACATGAATGAAAGTGGCTAAGTTCAGGAAGAATCTTGTTCTTTAATGGTTTTGGTGCTTCTATCTTTCCAGTGAGAGCACAGTTCCTGATCTCCTGTGGGTGACCATGCTCTGATTAGACATTCATCAGTTTTTAAAAAGAAGAGAAGATGGGCTGAATTGAGAAGAAGCAGGAGTTTGAGGATTTGGCACAGAGAGGGCTTCAAATAGTTCAGATACTAGATGCAAACAGAGAGAGGCCCTGCCAAGCCAATCCCTGAACAGGAGGAGGTGCCAAGTGCCCCAAGTGAGTTTGCTGCCAACTGATAGGCAAAGTCTACTGAGCAAAACCCGATTTTCATGTGGCTAATAGGGCTCAAGCCCCTGAATTAGACAAAAAGAAAACTACTTGGATGGAGCAGTTTCATTCAATTTGGAGATTTCATCTCTTTAACCCAATTCTATTCATAGGGCCGTAATTGTACCTAAGCAAGAGCAAGTTACCCTCTGGGTCCCTGAAGGGAAAGTTATTTTTCCCAATGGCAGTGTCCTCACAGAGCACGTGTGCTTCTAAGTGGCTTTCCATTCTGCTAGAGGATCTACAGCTCCAGGGAGAGGTCCACCCCATTCAACCAACACATATGTATCGAATGCCTTATTCATACACGACACTTTGACAAAAACTGTGAAGGTTATTAGAATGAACCTCTGGCCGGGCGCGGTGGCTCAAGCCTGTAATTCCAGCACTTTGGGAGGCCGAGGCGGGTGGATCACGAGGTCAAGAGATCGAGACCAGCCTGGTCAACAAGGTGAAACCCTGTCTCTACTAAAAATACAAAAAATTAGCTGGGCATGGTGGTGCGTGCCTGTAATCCCAGCTACTCAGGAGGCTGAGGCAGGAGAATTGCCTGAACCCAGGAGGCGGAGGTTGCGGTGAGCCGAGATCGTGCCATTGCACTCCAGCCTGGGTAACAAGAGCAAAACTCCGTCTCAAAAAAAAAAAAAAAAAAAAAAAGAATGAACCTCTGTCCTCAAAAACTTTAAAACACATGTGTGGTAGGGGAGGAAGTAAGACCAAAAAATAGAGCATAGTCAAGGGCTTACCTGTGAGTCAAAAAAGGCCCAGAAAGGGAGCTGGCACAGCTGATGGGCATCAGGAATAAATACGGTAATGACAGATGGGATGTAGAAGGAATATGAGGAAAGGACCAAAATGAGATCCATGAGGGCTATTGGATAAAACCTTTGAAAGTCACTTACCAAGGCCAGAGCTAAGAAAATGTGTTGTCTCCGGGAAAGCAGGCGGACGCCGTATTGCTGAGGACTTTGAAAGTTGGTTATTAAATCTGCATTAGTGTGTGGACATTCAAGGTTTTTAGGCCAGTGAGTGACAAGATCAGAGCTAGCATTTCATCAGTTACCAAGTGGGTGGGCCTCAGGGGGAAGAGCCACAGTCACTACGGGATGTGACTCGCTGGGGTGCTAAACAGCTGTCTTCCTCTTCGCCACTCACGTAGCTTCTCTTAGCCCAGTAGGATTTTAACTTTGTTGAGACTGTTAGCCCCGCTTTAAATTACATATCTCTAAAAAGGCTAGGTATAACTGAATATAAAGGAACTTAATGGATCATTCAGCAATAACTCCAGAGGGCCCCCAGGGACTTGAGGAGGAACAGGCTGCAGAAGAGGCCGTGAAGGGGTCTAGGACCAACTCTTACCCTTCAGCTCAGGGCCTCTTTCTTGGAAACTGGCTGATTTATCCAAAATGAGAGAATATAGGGAGGAGTTTAGGTCACAAGCTTGAACCACAATTTGATTCCCAGCTTTACACTGATGCTCTACGTGACTTTGCAGCCACTCTCCCTTGAATCCCTCCATCTCATCTGTAAAATGGATAGAATAGTACATCTTGACCTCCCAGAGATGATTCCCAAATACACAGACACAATGGAAACCAGATTCTATCGATACTTTGTTAGAGGGGCAACATCATGTTTTTCAAATCACTTTTGGAAGATGCCAGTTATAGTTTTGGTTTGGTTTTGTATAACCACAGGAAAGGGCAGATGTCCCAGCTCTACCTCATATCATTTAAAAAGTGAACTCTTAAGAATCAGACCCAAGCTGCTGGCCCAGAAGACCCTGTCATCTGCACATCTTAGCAACTCACCTCCCAGGTCTCACAGCGACCCCAGCAGGCATCCGTGGTGATCCGAAGGCCCTTGCAGCCTGGCTTCTTGGCCAGGAAAGTGAACTCCCTCACGGCACAGCCCACAAAGGTGCGCAGGTTACCACTGGAGGTGCCAAGGACACAGCCACAGCCAGCCAGAAGGAGGAGGGCCATGGGGCCAAGGAAGAGGATTGTCAGCTTCATGCCGCTCTTCCAAAGAGGGAAAGGAGAGAGTTTAACAGATCCAGCAGCCCTCAATGGGGCAGTCAACCATGCATTAGTCACTATCAAAGGGACCTTGCTCCTAGCATTTCAGGGAAAATGAGCCCAGAAATTGTAAATGCCCACAAACTGTAACACAGGCATCCAGAGATTCCTGTAACTAGTGCCAGTGTGGATTCCACAGCCCTCTCTAGATGCCCACCCTCTGAGTGCATTCTCAGGCTTTTCCTTATTGTAACTTAACTGCTGCAGTTGACCTGCGTGTTTAAGAAGTTTGCCCCAACAGTCTTTCCAAAATAAACATAAAATAGGAGTAAAACCAAAAGCAATCCATAACCCAAGAGAATACGTGAATACATATAAATTATTTGTATTCAGGTCCAGGGTATTTGGGTGCCATATTACACACTTTGCTCAAAACTATATTTTCAGCATCATGATGGGGAGTGATTTGAGGGAGTGGTTGATAAGTATTAATAATAGTCCTCCCTATATGCATTGTTACTAAACCAACTCACCACTAAACATGGGTATGCAGAAGATATCATGAAACCTATCACCTAAGGTGGTGGCCATTCATAAATGTATCCTACTCACTATAAATTGCTTTTGCTCTAGGCTTCTATTTCTATTACCTACTTATAATTCAATTTAAATCCAAATGATGGAAAGCATAGGAGTTATTTAACACATAACCTACACATAACCTCAACCCACAGTCTTTAACCTCTCTGGGTCTTGGTCATTCCTGTGCTCTTTCAGAAGCCAAAATCACCCCCCTTCATGCTTAACCCAGTAGACAGAACTCACCTGGATTTTGAAGTATCAAGGATATGGCATTTGCGGACCCTGACCCCCCACTGAACTCATTATTCTCACAGTTCCTACTTCTGACCTTACTGTAGTAAGTTCTCTGGGCTTCCCCTCCTCTGGAATGAGGTAACAGATACAGAGAAACACTTACCTAATCTTGCAGGAGCCAACTCTTCTTTTAGAGCTGAAACTTGCACTAAGATTTCAGGAAGTCACAATGACTGGTAGAGGTTTGCTCTGGGTAAATGTCTCTACCTTCTGTTACTGGGCTGCTTGATTGCTCAAATATATAGGAAAGGTCTTGTCAATCAAAACAAAAGAGAGGCAGATCCTTACAGGAACTACTAAACACATCAAAGCCATGGAATATAAAGCCAGTCTCTATTTTCCAAAACTGATTAACTTCAAGGGTGTTGTTTTGTTTCTCAACATCACCTACTGAAACAGAAAGTTACCTTGGTGGGTGGCATAATCCTAGGGAAACAGAGGTAGTTCCACCTGGTTCTCAGGAGAACAAATGCATTGCAGCAGATGCATTACATTTTCCTTCATGGTAACCAGGACTTTCCTTTAAAACAGGGGTAAGTGACTAGCTCATGGCAAACTCTTTCCTTTAACCCAGAACATGTTTCAATACACTGAAAAATAACAGAACCATAATTCTTGCTGGCAGGAATGCAGGATCACTAACTGAAAAATGGAAATCACAGTGAGAAGAAACATGTTGAAAGTCTTAACATTAGCTAAGAATTAGATGATATTAATAACACCTTAAAATGAATCATTTAGGAAAAAATACCAAGATGTTCCAAGTGATTATCTTCCAGCATGAGAATTAAAGAAAACTTTTCATTTCTTTTATATGGTTTTCAGCATTTTTCACATTTTCTACTTTGGGCAGGCTTCTGTAATAGAGAGTCAGTTAATATCAATATTTTTAAAGTAAACCAATAGGTATGCATTTGCATTGAGTGTAAGGACATTCAGTGCTGCTCTGATAGAGACATTTCATCTGATTTTTGGTCTTAAATTCTTAAAATAAGAACAAAGGCTAGGTGTGACATAATCATGCCTGTAATCCCAGCATTCTGGGAGGCGGGTGGATTACCTGAGGTCGGGAGTTTGAGACCAGCCTGACCAACATGGAGAAACCCAGTATCTACTAAAAATACAAAATTAGCTGAGCATGGAGGCACGCGCCTGTAATCTCAGCTACTCAGGAGGCTGAGGCAGGAGAATTGCTTGAACCCAGGAGGTGGAAGTTGTGGTGAGCCGAGACTCCACCATTGCACTCCAGCCTGAGCAAGAAGAGAAAAACTCCCTCTCAAATAATAATAATTAATTAATTAATTAATTAAAATATTTTTATGAGTATGGGCTATAGTTTATATTTCAATCTACAATAACAGTATATGAGTGAATTAAAAATATACTTGTTCATGGCATTTTTCTGGGTGCTCTAAAAAATAAATGAAGCAGACATCATCTTTGCCCTTAGGACTTTTGATATCATAGTAAATAATGACATAGGCAGAGACATTTAAGATGCACACTAACTAGTGAAACTATATAAAGAAGTTAAACCATTTCCATTTCCTGCAAAGAAAGGTATTCTTTAAATAAATGTACTGCTCATTATCTATTTCACTTTCAAAACAGATAACAACGCCCAGTGAGTCCATCAATTTACCATGCTTCGCTTCAGAGCAGAATTATTATATGTGTTTTATAGAAAACTGAACTAGGCTTGGAATAAAGGACTTTCTTCAGCCGTTCAGCCTGGGAGTAGCATAACCAGAACCGTAGTGTTCTGTGCATGGACACGCAACGGGCCTGATCTTCCAAACTTGCTGGCCAAGAGCTAGCCAGCCGCGGTGAGCTGCCGTCCTGAGCTGTTTCTGAAGATGGCTGCTCAACCCTTTTAGACCTGAAACACATACTTGTGCCTGCAGTGTCACAAAAGAAAGACAGACTACAAAGGCCAAGAGCATCTTTCTTTCACAATCTCTAACTTCTTTATAATGCAGAGCTGTGGCATCATGCATTCTACCCCATCAGCATTAACTTTATAAGAATGACCATTCATAATCACGAAGCATCTACTGTGTACCAGGTACCAGGAAATCTGCTGTGCTCTTACATATGTTATCTCTAGACCTCACAACAATTCTTTAAGTCAGTTATTCTTTTCTCCATTTTACATTGGAAGAAATAGAAATGCAATTGTTTTGTAACCTGTCTACTTCCAAAGCTTTCAACAACACCAGGAATGGCAAATGGATCAATTTCATCCCTGTAACCAACTACCATTCATGGGAAGCGGCTGCCGGGAATGTTGTTTTAGAGAAGGCAGCTGAAATCATTCTAAGGACAGAGGGCAGTGGCCCATGAGCTTCATCCTGGGTGTGGGAAAGGAGAATGGTGTACGGATGCCACCTTTTGCCATCTAGGCCATGTCGCACCTCTCTGTGGGCAGAGTGAGAGGTTGTAGCATGACTTCAAAGGCTAATTAATGCCCTGCTACCTATGGAATATCTCTGCACCACAGAACATGTGTGTGCCTGCTATCTTCCCTTCAATCTACATTGAAGTTCCTACCATGAAAGTCACTCTCTAGAGGTAGCAAACAAACACATGAGTGATGTCTCCAAGGACAGGCTCTGGAGAATCATCTCTCCTTTTATTCCATGATCATCTTCACATGGATTTATTGTCACCTTGGTGGATGAGGCACAAGCTATAGGTTCACTAGGGGTAAAAAGAAAGGAGAAGTGGTGAACATGAGCAGTCATCTAGAGTTCTAGGAGGAGCATGAGATCAGAGGAATGAGCCAATTGTTAGTGCCTCAAATGGGTGACTGAGAAACTGAGGCCTGCCCCAGGGAAGGCAGCCCCAGGTGGGGAAATCCTGGGGTGCACACAGTGTGCAGGAGATGGAGACACTGAGAGCCTGGAAACGCACCCTTCCCTCCCACAGCCATGTTGATTCTCAGTGGCACAATCTCCTTTGGGACTACCTTGAGCAAGTCACTTGTCTGAGCCTCAGTTTCTTCACCTGTAACACAGTGGGGTTGGACCCTGTGACTCCTAAGGCCCTTCCCAGCTCCAGAATTTAAAGATTTATAAACTATTTTCTGAGCACAAGAAGCTAAGGACAAGTCAGAGGGAGGGTGCAGAAGGTCACACAACCATAAAGCTGGCCACATTGGTGCTGAAATCTTGATGCTGACACTCATCTGCTTATGATCTTGGACAAGTCTAGCAACCCACCTGGATCTCAGCTTCCTACAAAATTGAAAATGCCTCCATCGTAGGGGTCATGTGAGGTAACTACAAAACAATGTCTATAAATTACTTATGACAGGGCTCTGCAATAATGGTTTTCTCTTTCCTTCCCTGGAAATGCATCATCATGTGTACCACAGAGAAATAAAAAGCTGCCAACAAAAAATTATATCACACTAGCAATTGTTAGACATATCCTGATTTCAAAAATATTAGATATGAAAAAACAAAATTTGAGTCTGGGAGGAGAAGAAGCAAAGTCTTTGGGGACTGCGAGACCTCACCAGCCTTACGAAACCAGGAAGTGGGGAAGCACCAACCTTGCTTTCCCAGCCAACATGGGGCGCTTTAATCTGACACTAAAATTAACAACATGTTTTCAGATCTTAATTTTTAGACCTCATTTTTAAAGTCCAAGTCTCACATTTTGAGGGTAGAAGCTTTATCACCGTTGTAAATTTCAATATACTAATAAATCTTCATAAACACTCAATTTCAGTTCTGACCAAATACGGAGTCAAACCAACTAAGCCAACCAGTGCTCACTGAGCCCCCGCTGTCTTGCCCAGGTATGAAATGAGGGCCCACAGGAGCTAAGCTGTTGGCTGCATCACTTTACACGACTCCTAAGAGTTTAGAAAAGATGTACATGCTCTAATATGTTTTTCACCACTGGATCCTCAAAATTCACAAACCTCTGCCCAAGGGTCAAGTTAATTAGTATTATGCTTCCCATGGGTGAAAAAAAAAAAAAAAAGCCTCAAATGAAGCTATGAGTTTCAAGGAACTAATAGAATTAATGATAAAAGAAAGGTCAGCCTTGAATCTTATAAAGTGGTATGTTGCTTTTAATACTGTTTATTTTCCACAGGGGAGCAGGGAGGA